TGATTGAAGACATTGTGCACTGTACGGAATTAGAACTTGTGCCTGCAGCCGTTGATGCTGCTCTTCAGTCTATTGCCAATGTTTCTGTCTTCCCCCAACTTCAGCATGGTCTGCTAAAGGCCGGTGCCTTATGGTGAGCTATTTTCTTGTTCTCTTTGCTGTCGTCAATATGTTCTTGTTCAATCGCACAAAGAATGTTTGGTGGCTCTATTTTCTGTTTTCCATGCATGTAAAATTCCAGGTGTCTTGTTTGTGTAACTAAATTGAAAGAATGGTGACCAAATGTCTGTAGCAAAAATGTCGCTGAGTTAGATTTCACCTGATCTTTTATCTTTGTTACACTGATTTGTACCTTTGCTTGTGACAAGTATAACTGGATTTCTTTTTTTTTTTTGTCTGTTTCATCAGGTACATTCTCCCATTATTACTACAGTATGACTCAACTGCAGAGGAATCTAATTCTGTCGAGTCCCATGGGGTTGGAGTTAGCATTCAAATTGCCAAAAATGAGCATGCCTTACAAGCATCACAAGCCCTTGCAAGGCTTAGTGGACTGTCTGCAGATGAGAGTTTGATACCTTACAATGCTGATGCGGCTGATGTTCTCAGAGCATTACTGACTCCAAAGCTTGCCAGTTTGTTGAAAGATGAAGTTGCCAAAGATCTGCTAACCAAACTAAACACAAATTTGGAGACACCAGAGGTAAACTTGTCTTCTTGTCTGATAAATATATGTCTGATGTCATCATATTGCAGAACTATTAATTTCTCAAGATTCTTCTCTGCATGCACATATGAAAATTTTGTGAACACTTCAGTGTTAGAGCATGTTTAGCTGTTGGCTGGGTATACTATAATTGTATTACTTTTTTGTTTCGCAGATTATCTGGAACTCTGGAACTCGATCAGAGCTTTTAAATTTCGTGGAGGAACAACGTGCCTGCCAGGGCCCTGATGGTTCATATGATCTGAAAACTGCGCAATCTTTTGCATATGAGGCATTGTCAAAAGAGGTCTATATTGGCAATGTTTACTTGAAGGTCTACAATGATCAACCCGACTCAGAACTCAGTGAACCAGAAGCATTTTGCAATGCCCTAATCGAGTTTATATCATCTTTAGTGCATACTGAGTTGCCCTCTGTTTCTGAGGACCAAAATTCGATTGAAGAAATGAGTTCATCCAACGATACTCCAGAACTTCAAAGTAGTGTCGCCGAACCCTCACAGATTGAAGGACATTCCGATCATCAATCAACATCTGAGGGGATGAAGAAGGAAGAACAATCTCTGATTGATCACCTCCATTTAGGATTAACTGCTCTTCAGGTACTCATATAGAGCATGTGTATGTGTAAATTATCAAAGAAGTAAGCATGTCTGACCTTTTCTTTGCCTTTTGCTTTTGTAGAACTTGCTTACAAAGTATCCAGATCTTGCTTCAGTTTTTTCGTCAAAGGAGAGACTACTACCCCTCTTCCAATGCTTTTCATTGCCAATTGCATCACAGACAGATATTCCAAAACTCTGCTTGAATGTCCTGTCCCGCCTTACTGCTTATGCTCCTTGCTTGGAGACAATGGTATCTGATGGATCTAGTCTTCTTCTCCTCTTGCAAATGCTTCATTCTGCACCTGCTTTTCGCGAGGGTGCTCTCCATGTTCTTTATGCTCTGGCAAGCACACCAGAACTTGCATGGGCTGCTGCGAAACATGGTGGAGTAGTATACATTTTGGAACTTTTATTGCCTCTGCAAAGTAATTATTCTCAACCCATTTTCTTTTCATATTTGCTTTCTGATTACATGCAATTACATCCATGACACGAAATGGTCTTGTGCAGAAGAAATTCCCATGCAGCAAAGAGCTGCAGCGGCTTCTTTGCTGGGGAAGCTTGTTGCACAACCAATGCATGGGCCTAGAGTTGCTATCACACTTGTAAGATTTCTTCCGGACGGTCTTGTATCTATCATTCGTGATGGACCTGGGGAGGCTGTCGTACATGCACTTGAGCGGACTACAGAGACTCCAGAACTTGTGTGGACACCAGCAATGGCAGCATCTTTATCTGCACAGATTGCAACCATGGCATCAGAGATTTATCGTGAACAACAGAAGGGCAGTGTTATTGAATGGGATGTACCCGAGCAATCACCTCAAGAAATGAGAGACGAGCCACAGGTTATTTTTTTATTTTTATTTAAACTTGTATATGAATCAGAGCAGTAGGGAAAGAGTTCCTTTGAGTGGAATCATAATTATGAAATTTATCTTGTAGGTTGGTGGGATCTATGTCAGGCTCTTCTTAAAAGATCCAAAATTCCCTCTGAGAAATCCGAAAAGATTCTTGGAAGGACTGCTAGATCAGTATTTGTCAGCAATGGCGGCAACACATTATGAACAACATCCTGTTGACCCTGAGCTTCCTCTTCTTCTCTCTGCTGCATTGGTTTCTTTGCTGCGTGTGCATCCTGCACTTGCAGATCACATAGGATATCTCGGGTATGTCCCCAAGCTAGTCGCTGCTGTGGCGTATGAGGGCAGGCGGGAAACAATGTCTTCAGGAGAAGTAAAGGCTGAAGAAATTGGCTCGGACGGAGCGAATGAGACAGCTGATTCCTCAAGCCTACCTGGACAAACCCCTCAAGAACGTGTGCGCCTTAGTTGCTTACGTGTTCTACATCAACTTGCCGCTAGTACCGCATGTGCTGAAGCAATGGCTGCAACTAGTGCTGGGAATGCTCAGGTTCTCTACTCTGTTCTCTCTCCTCTGGTTACCACACGCTATTAGTGGTTAAAACTAGTGATTTGTGACATTTGTAATGACTCTCGAGTTGATAAAAACACCAGGTGGTTCCGCTTCTCATGAAAGCAATAGGATGGCTTGGTGGGAGCATTTTGGCACTTGAGACACTTAAGCGTGTTGTTGTCGCTGGAAATCGGGCAAGAGATGCACTTGTTGCACAGGGTCTAAAGTGAGTCATCCTGTTACATGCTGATTTTTGTCTTCGGTTCTCAAGCTGACAGTTGCTCACATATTAGTTATCTCTATAAGCAAACTCTGTTCAGCGTCTTACGTTATACAAATGGTTATGAATTTTTTTGGTAGGGTTGGTCTTATTGACGTTCTTCTCGGGCTGCTTGACTGGAGGACAGGCGGAAGGTATGGTCTCAGCTCTCACATGAAATGGAATGAATCGGAAGCATCAATCGGGCGGGTGCTTGCAGTTGAGGTAAGTTTACAATTTGTTGATGGAAGTAGAGAGATGTTGTGTTCTCTTTCAGATTAGTGATTGATGAAAATCATACTACATGTCTCAGGTATTGCATGGCTTTGCAACAGAAGGTGCACATTGTTCAAAAGTGAGAGATATACTTGACGCTTCGGAAGTAAGTTTGTGATATTGAAACTACGAATGATAAAGTCTTGTTTCAAAGTGTGTTTTTGTTGATAAACCGAAATTGAATTTTGGATAGGTGTGGAGTGCATATAAAGACCAAAAGCATGATCTGTTCCTCCCATCAAACACGCAATCAGCGGCTGGAGTGGCTGGCTTTATCGAGAACTCGTCCAACAGCCTCACTTACGCGCTTACCGCGCCTCCTCCTTCTTCTTCGTCTCCTTGACCTTTCTATCTGCCTTTTGTATATCCTTTTTTGTAAAGTTTCATCGTTTCCTTGGCTTTGTCTTTCTATAGAGAAGAAGATACTGTTGTTTGTAAATGTTTTATGAGAAAGTAAAAAATATTGTTGTTTTATTTGGATCCTTACCACACTTCTCTTCATCTTTACCTCATGTTTTGTTTTGTTTTCGAAAATCCTAATGTGGATCGAAATCTGGAAGTTTTATGTGTTCCTCTTTGACCTTTGTTGTTGTTGTTTTTTTTTTTTTTTTTTTTTTTTTTTTGCGGAGGTTTTTGAACTGAATATTAATTTAGGTTACAAAAAAGTGAACCAAAGACATGCTGTAAATTATTTAAATAAAATGAAACCTAAATGTTAAGTTAGCTGATCTAAGGGTCAAAGAAATAGTTGTGAATTTGGGATGAGTATGATGTTTTTAGGCTTTTTGATCACTCACATATTAGTGCACCTCGTACTAGATTGTGTGACCCCACTATATGGCGCTTTAGAGACTGAAGTAAAAAAGTCGACATTACTCTTTACTCGTCAATTTACACTTCGAGAGAGAGAGCCGCCAGTACAAGAGATCAATAAATAAAGTTAAGATTTTACGCCACATGATCACATTAAGTTTTTTTTCTGTTTTGCTAAATCATGATCACATAATTTACATTACACATGCCACTGATTAGCGTAACCTAAATTACACATGGTGTTCAATAATTCATCTAAGCATTGGTGATACTTAAGTCCACGCAATCAAATAGTAAATGTTGACATCTATTTATTTCATTGAGACCTATCAAAAACATTTTAGATTTGGAACCTTTTGATTGTTAAGGACTTTTCCATCTACCATTCTGTGTTCATTTTATCTGTTGACTTTATAATTGGTAACTCTGGATTAAGAAGTTTTATGGAGATAATCTGTTGTAGAAAATTCTGACTTACATAAAAAGTGTGAGATCTTTCTAAAATTTGTTCCCCTCCTAACAATCATTGACACTTATTAACAACTTTTCCATCTGTCATTCAACAATCATTTTGATTATTGACTTTATAATTTTTTACTATTTTCGCTGAATTTTGTATAAATAAGTTTAATGCACAGAATCTGTTGTAGAAAATTCTGACTTAAATAAAACAAATTGTGAGATCTTTCTGACTTTTTTTTTTTGTCATTTTGAATTATATATTTTGACAAAATAAATCTTTATTAACTTATTTCTTATACTTGTGCTAGTATAAATATGCTTGGAGAGACACACCTCAAAAATTATAAACAGAAAAAAAAGAGGCCTAAGAGAAAAGTTATCCACCCATTTTATCATCTCCATCAACAAACAATCTCCTTCTTCCCCTCCCAACCAACAAAAATATGTCTATCAAAGAACGCATTTCACCACTTACTTTGCTTCTCCTACTAACAACAACGATTCTATACAACAACCAAGCTCATGCAACAAGTCCAATCAAAACCATCGTTGTTTTAGTGATGGAGAATCGATCTTTTGACCACATGCTTGGATGGATGAAGAAGCTAAACCCGGAGATCAACGGTGTGGATGGTTCAGAGTCGAACCCGGTCTCCGCATCAGACCCTTCTTCAAAGAAAATCAAATTCGGGTCGGGTTCGCATTACGTGGATCCGGATCCGGGTCATTCGTTTCAGGCAATAAGAGAGCAAGTGTTCGGGTCGAATGACACATCCAAGGATCCACCGCCGATGAATGGGTTTGTTCAACAAGCATATTCGGAGGACCCCACTGGTAATATGTCTGCAAGTGTTATGAACGGCTTCGAACCTGATAAGGTTCCTGTCTACAAGTCACTTGTCTCCGAGTTCGCTGTTTTCGATAGGTAAAAACTTTAAATATATTTTCCTGTCTTTTTGGAAGTATTATTACGTCATTTAATCTTATTGTCGCATCCTTTGTCGTCGTCTTTTTGGCATATCTTAAAACGAAAATATATTCATACTTCACGCAATAAAATTCGTAATAAATCTGAATTTTGAATGACAAAACGCAGATGGTTTCCTTTCTAATACTATTTTTTTTTTCTCTATCTATGGTAGTATTTTTACGTTCTCTTTTAATGTTTTTGTTCAGTGTTATGGTTTGTGAAATGTTTTTATAATATATTAGTACAATTTTATTCTAAGTACGTAACTAGTCTTATTGCCGCAAGTCGCAACCTTTGTCGTATTATTGGCTCATTAAAATTCATTAAAAAAATAAGAGATGTATTATTCCAAGTTCTTTAAAAATAAGAGATACATTTCTAAAAACCTATTGTCACTTTTCATTACGCATGGGAGAGCGTGGTATGGGTTATATGGTGCTCCATGTCCATGTGTGATGTATCTATCTATCCTTGTAGATTAATTTATTTTATTGTAACCGTTTCTGTTTCAAAAAAAATATATGTTGACAAAATTTCTTCGTTTATTGATATCTTTTTTGTTTTTTCTCTATGGAAGTATTATATATTACGTGATCAATAGTCTTGGTTTGTTTTTCTTATCTTTCGATTGTTTTGGGTTTAATTATAGTCTAATTTTGTTCCTATATACAATGTGTTTTACGTGATAATAGTTCATGATTAGAAAGAATATAGTACTACTCGATAAATCTAAAATTTGTTTATTAAAACAGATGGTTTGCATCGGTTCCATCATCGACACAACCAAACCGAATGTTCGTGCACTCAGCGACGTCAGGAGGAGCCATGAGTAACGACCCCCTGTCACTTGCAAAAGGTTTTCCTCAAAGAACCATTTTCGATAATCTCGACGAAGAAGACATCTCTTTCGGAATATACTACCAGAATGTTCCTGCGGTCTTGTTTTATCGAAGCCTAAGGAAACTCAAATACGTTTTCAAGTTTCATAGCTATGCACTCTCCTTCAAGGACCATGCAAAGAGTGGGAAGCTCCCTGCTTATACTGTGATTGAGCAACGTTACATGGATACCATCTTTGAGCCTGCTACTGATGATCATCCATCCCATGACGTCTACCAAGGACAGGTTTGTTTTCTAATTTTTTTTTTCTTTTTTTTTTTAATCTCTAAATTAAATTTAACTAGATTAGAAATGAAGAATGTTAATTATCTAGCTTTCCATACGATTAAGATTTAAAATATGGCTTATTTATACATTTTCACCATTATAGTTGTTTATAAATATATTAATTACTTTATCTAATAATCAAGTAGAATTTATGTCTGGATTTATCATTTATTATCGGAAGTAAGTTAAGTAACAATAACAATATGATCGTTACACATTTCAGAAATTTATAAAGGAAGTGTACGAAACCCTAAGAGCGAGCCCACAATGGAACGAGACTCTATTGCTAATCACATACGACGAGCACGGTGGTTATTTCGACCACGTGCCCACACCGGTTCGCAATGTTCCTAGCCCGGACGGTATAGTCGGACGAGAACCGTTCCTATTCAAATTCGACCGGTTAGGTGTTCGTGTACCAACAATAGCAGTGTCTCCATGGATCGAAAAAGGCACGGTCGTGCATGGACCAAAAGGATCACCGTTTCCATCATCTGAGTACGAGCATTCTTCCATACCCGCGACAGTGAAGAAACTGTTCAATCTATCAACACCTTTCCTCACAAAGAGAGATGAATGGGCAGGAACTTTTGAGCACATTTTGCAAATCCGCAAAGAGCCTCGAACTGATTGTCCCGAGACGTTACCCGAACCGGTTAAGATAAGAATGACCGAGGCTAATGAGAATGCTAAATTGAGTGAGTTTCAGCAAGAGCTTGTACAACTAGCTGCGGTGTTAAAAGGAGATGATGCACTTACAACATATCCTAAAGAAATAGGAAAAGGAATGACTGTGATTCAAGGGAAGAGGTATATGGAAGATGCTGTCAAAAGATTCTTAGAAGCTGGTCGTTTAGCCCTAGCCATGGGAGCTAACAAAGAAGAGCTTGTCCGTATGAGACCTTCCCTTACCGGAAGAAGACATTAAGTTTATTATTCTTCTAGCTCCTGTTACATGTCTATTTTCTTTTAGCCTTTACTTATAAGTCAAACCCTCTATATCCTAAATAATAAATTGATTGTTTATAATTGACATTCTCAATCGATTCCGAGAGAAGCCAATGTGTTGGCTAACTCTCTTGCAAAACATTCACTCCCTGACTTTTTAGTGGTTGCGGAGTTAAGGAGAAGTTAATGAAAAGTTGAACCGTTTGAAAAAAAATAAAAATAATTGACATTCTCATTAGAGCATCAACATTGGAGGGTATCTCAATGAAGATCTCAAACTATAATAAAATAATAACAACATATGTTTATATAATTCAAATCTTTTTAATTCTGATTTGTTTATATTCATCTGGATTAACTCAGTTTTGGTTTGCGTCCATCTAAACTGTTCTACTTTCCTTTAAAACTCTTTGTAAATGAATCTTTTAACATACATTCGAACATGAATTCACACACAGGCCTTAGCTGTTTATAACACAATAACGAAAAAAAAAAAAAAACACAATTACGAGAACAACAAATGTATAAATTAATGTTAGGAGAGTTATAAATTTGTATATAAACTACGTAAACATAATCCCTCGTTAAAGTAGGAGATCAGTAACCTCATTAAAAATATAGATGGTTCAATCAGGATTATCATATCGCTGGCTTTGTATAAAGTAGTTTAATGCACATAATCTGTTGCAGAAAATTCTTTGACTTAAATAAAAAAGTCAGTTATCTTTTAAAGTTTTTCCTTTTGATTTTACTTTGTATATATCTTTTGATTTGCAGAAATATAATAATAAATGTTCATAGATATATATTTCTGTTTACGTGTGTAAGTTTAATTATATGCTGGAGAGATTTAGAAGAGAGACACACCTTGAAAATTCAAAGACAAATCTAAAACAAATAAAAAGAAGGGAACCCTAAAAAGAAAACAAAAAGTTATCCAAAAAAGACAGAAAGTTATCCACCTATTTAACATCTCCTATCAACAAAAATCTCTCTCCTTTCTTCCCCCTCCCAACAAAAGTTTGTCTATATCTATTTAATTTTTAATTTTTCCATCTGTCATCTTACCATCATTTTATTTAGTGAGTTTATCACTGGTAACTACTTTCGCTGGATTTTGTATAAAAATAATAACTAATAGAATCTGTTGTAGAAAATTCTTTGACTTAAATAAAAAATTGTGAGATCTTTCTGATTTTTGTTTGTGTCCTTTTAAATTATAATTCTTGGACAAAATAAATCTTTATTAACTTAATTTCATATACTTGTGTTAGTATAAATATGCTTGGAGAGACTTACAAGTTACAAGAGAGACAAACCTTGAAAAAATAAAATAAAAAGATACCTAAAACAAACAGAAGTATCCACATCAACAACAAAAATCTCCTTTGTCCACTCCCAAAAAAAAAAAATGTCTATCGAAAAATACATTTCACCACTTACTTTGATTCTCCTACTAACAACTTTGATTTTATACAACAACCAAGCTCATGCAACAAGTCCAATCAAAAACATCGTTGTTATAGTGATGGAGAATCGATCGTTTGACCACATGCTTGGATGGATGAAAAAGCTAAACCCGGAGATCAATGGTGTGGATGGTTCAGAGTCGAACCCGGTCTCTGCATCGGATCCTTCATCAAAGAAAATCAACTTCGGGTCCGGTTCACATAACGTGGATCCGGATCCGGGTCATTCGTTTCAGGCAATAATGGAGCAAGTATTCGGGTCGAATAATACATCCAAGGATCCTCCACCGATGAATGGGTTTATTCAACAATCATATTCGGAGGACCCCACTGGTAACATGTCCGCAAGTGTTATGAACGGCTTCGAACCTGATAGGGTTCCTGTCTACAAGTCACTTGTGTACGAGTTCGCTGTTTTCGATAGGTGAAATTTTTAAATAATTTTCTTAACAATTTTTTAAGTAAATTTTCTTGTCTTTTTCGAAGTATTATTATGTCGTACTTTAATCTTATTGTATTTTTCTTTTGTTGTTAAAGGGCCTCGATAGGTTAATTTTTTTTATTTGATTAAAACAGATGGTTTGCATCGGTTCCAACAGAGACACAACCAAACCGAATGTTCGTGCACTCAGGGACGGCAGGGGGAGCCACAAGCAACGACCCGTTGCAACTTGCAAAAGGTTATCCTCAAAGAACCATTTTCGATAATCTTGACGAAGAGGGCATCCCTTTCGGGATATACTACCAGAGTATTCCGCCGGTATTGTTTTATCGAAACCTAAGGAAACTCAAATACGTTTTGAAGTTTCATACATATTCAACCTTCAAGGACCATGCAAAGAAAGGGAAGCTCCCGGGTTATAGTGTGATTGAGAACCGTTACATGGATACTCTCTTCGAGCCTGCTAATGATGATCATCCATCACATGACATCTACCAAGGACAGGTTTTGTTTTCTTCCTTTTATTTTTTATTTTTGGAATAAAACTAAATTTAAAAATTAAATATAGTTTAACAGACACAAAACTAGATTATAGATGAAGTTTATAATCATAGCTATGTGAAGTTTATAATCATATAACAGTTCACATTCCGAAGTTTATAAAGGAAGTGCAAGTTAAAATGTGCCAATGTGGTGTCTAACTATATGACCGTTACACATTTCAGAAGTTTATAAAAGAAGTTTACGAGACCCTAAGAGCGAGTCCACAGTGGAACGAAACTCTATTGATGATCACATACGACGAGCACGGTGGTTTTTTCGACCACGTGCCCACACCCGTTCGCAATGTTCCTAGCCCGGACGGTATAGTCGGACCAGCACCGTTCCTATTCAAATTCGACCGGTTAGGTATCCGTGTACCAACAATAGCAGTGTCCCCATGGATCGAGAAAGGCACGGTCGTGCATGGACCAAAAGGATCACCGTTTCCATCATCTGAGTACGAGCATTCTTCCATACCCGCGACAGTGAAGAAACTGTTCAATCTATCAACACCTTTCCTCACAAAGAGAGATGAATGGGCAGGAACTTTTGAGCACATTTTGCAAATCCGCAAAGAGCCTCGAACTGATTGTCCTGAGACGTTACCGGAACCGGTTAAGGTGAGAATGACTGAGGCCAATGAGAATGGTAAATTGAGTGAGTTTCAGAAAGAGCTTGTACAATTAGCTGCGGTGTTAAAAGGAGATGATGCGCTTACAACATATCCTAAGGAAATAGGAAAAGGAATGACTGTGATTCAAGCGAAGAGGTATATGGAAGATGCTGTGAAAAGATTCTTGGAAGCTGGTCGTTTAGCTCTCGCTATGGGTGCTAATAAAGAAGAGCTTGTTCGTATGAGACCTTCCCTTACCGGAAGAAGACATTAAGCTTATACATAATTCATGTATAAAATAGTGCTTATATATTTTGGATCGATCGTGATTGAAAATAAAAAGTTGTTAGATAATATTACCTTATATATTAAAATAAATTTCTGAATCCATCCCTAGTAACAAATTTCTGAGAGATACTGATGACTTTCTGGTTGCGCTTCTTTGAAATTTTTGTATGGACGGATGAACCCGACAACGTTGTAATGGTATGTAGTACTGTGTACTGTGTAGTAAGTGGAACAGAGTTCTTTGACCAGTCTGGATCAGCTGATATTACTTACGTATCTTTGCTTATGTCGAGACAGATTTGTAAACATGTAAAGTGGTATATGTATCTAAAATGAATTATTAGCACATACTCTAGTGTTCTAAATACATATGTTTTTCTTTAAAAATGATTAATTCTGATATTTTCATATTCATCCGGGCTGATCCCTACAAAACATATAATTCACTTTGGTTTGCACTTTGCATCCATTAAACCACTCTGATTCGGTTTTAAACGCTTTTGTAAACGAATCTTACTCGATCTTTGAAAATATCTTTATATTGTAGTTCAAAATTTGATTTCTAGTTGTGATTCTAGAAGAAACCGGATCAAGCAATAAATATAAATTTGGGTATATTATTAAAATGAAACGACTCATCATTAATTCATACAATCTTTATTCAAATATAATTATTAAAAAATAAAAGTGAAAATATCACTTTCAGTTTTTTTTTTTAACATATATTCGAACATGAATCCACACAGCCCAAAGTCTTTTCCGCAGCAAACTCCTTAGCTGTTTATAACAAACAATAACAAAAAAACGCAAAGATATAAATTATTGTTAGCAGGGTTCAAAAGTGTATATATTACGTTTAATCAACGTGAAAGTTGGAGATCCCGAGTAAAAATATAGTTATATATGAAAGCTAAAATTAAGCTTTTTACGAAAAACTTACATGGATCTACAACAGAGGCACAATGAAGACTAATACAATCAACCTCGGATTGTTTTCCACACTGTTTCAAACATTTGCCAAAACATCCAAATTTGTATCGTACGAATGGACTAACAATACAAATGTTAAAGCAACTTTTGAAACATCTTTTGAAACCATTATCTAAAGCTTCCGATTCAACTATAAAATTTCCAATCATCAACATCATCATCACAACAACCATTTTTTTGCTCTCCATTTTTGTTTATTAAGGAACAGATTATAAAAAGTGGTTTAGAAGAAATCAATTTGTATTAGTACTTTCATAATTGGCACCAAACACCCTTATATATAAACAACTTCGAAAGAAAACCTTTAACAAAAAAAATTGTAATGCAATTATGGGCGTATCTAATTTAGGCAATGTGGGTGCACTCGCATCCCATAAAAATTAGGTAATTAATTAAATTTCTGTAAACATTAAATTAGTTACCATCATGATAAAACATTGTTCTGACCCTATTCTTTTTCAACATAAGCTTACCATATAATTGACATTTGTTTCCAAATTTGAATACTGAAAGTCAAACGTAACACAAAAAACAAAACTTATTTATTTCAATAAACTCTTTTTACCTTCAAAATCTTTTTTGTTTCAATGATTTCTGTATTTAAAAATTGACAACTTGTATATATATAAACAAAAAATGGTAAAAAATAGTATATACAAAAAATGATAGTTATAGTTATACAAATAATTTGTGTAAAATATAGTGATCATACATTAAGATATAATTTCTTAAATATTAAATGTTGATAGACATTTCTTGTTCTTTTTACTTTGATAAAAAGAGATTTTTTTTTTCTTATTAAATTTTCCTATATTAGTCAAATAAATTTTTGGATCCACCACCCCTAATTACAAATGATCATCACCTATGACTCCATGAGACTCGCCGACTCGGAACCATTCTGATAATTTTCTGGTTGCTCTTCTTTCAATATGTCTCTCTCAGTGTAAATTTCTCTCTGTTTGGTTTTACTTTAACTTTAACTTTGGAGCATAAATAAACCAAAACCAAATTCAGGCAATACAAAAAAAATCAAATGAGTGCGAGTGTTCCTCTGATTCTGGGATCCTTGTAATGGCAACGGCGTACGGTCAATCGTCATTGCCGATGTATAGTCTCTTCTCCAAGCTCAGACCTTTCCTTTCCCACTCGCCGCCGTCTGTCACAGCTCCGTTCTTCCGGCGGCGGCAGAGTCTCGCGTTTAGCGCTCTTCCTTCGACGAAAGCCATCGACGCAGCGTTGATGAAGGAGAAATGGTTGGATTCTCTCTCTTTGCCCTCACCTGAAGAAGACGAAGCGACTCGGGAGACTCCTGAGTCGAGTTTTATCATTGGGATTGACCCAGACTTGTCCGGTGCTTTGGCTCTCTTGAAAATTGACCACACTTTGGGTTCCTCTGAAGCTCAGGTCAGTCTCGCCGCTTTTCTCTTTGACGATAAACCCTAGATTGGTGGTTTTAGGGTTTTCAAGTTGACACATTTAGGAATTTCAGAATCTTGAGCATTTCAATTAGGCAATTTCTCTCTTATTGTACGAAAATCAAAAACTTTTCTTTAATTGTTATATCTCTGCAAATCCTCTGTTCTTATGAAACTCACTTTAAAACCAAAACTGATGATTGTTGTGTCTTTTTTTTGTTTGTTGAATCCGAATTTTAGGTCTTTGACACTCCTTACTTGCCGGTTCTTGTCGGAAAAAGAGTAAGAAAACGTTTGGATGCAAAGTCAATACTTCAACTGATTCGAAGTTTAGATATTCCCTCTGGTAAGTAAGAAAGAAGATGTTTTTTTTCTTTCACATTTGTCTCTTTTGTAATTGTGTTCTTTGCAGTTTTTTTTACAATTTTTTCTTGTGTTGAACAATGCAGGAAGTAGAGCATATATAGAGCAATCGATTCCATTTCCGAAAGATGGGAAACAGGTTAACAAAACAACACTCATCTATTCTTCGATTGTTATGATGCTTATTCGTGAGAAACTGATACATGTTTGTATTGTGACTGCTGTATCTTAGGGTTGGTATAGTGGAGGGTTTGGATATGGATTGTGGATAGGAACACTTGTTGCGTCAGGCTTTTCGGTTGTTCCGGTTCCTTCATCAGTATGGAAGAGGCATTTTCAACTTGCTGGTGGAAACTCCACAAAGGTGACTGATGATGTTCATTGTCAAAATTCAAAACGTTTATGATTTTGAAGCAACATCTCTCATTTTGTTGTTGTTTCTGGTTACAGGATGATAGTAGACGAGTTGCGTCGGAGTTGTTTCCTTCGGTTAGTTCGCAACTCAAGAGGAAGAAAGATCATGGTCGAGCTGAAGCTTTGCTCATTGCGACTTATGGTGAAACCCTTCAACCTGTGAAATTGTTGAACATGCCTCTAGAGTTAGTCTCCTCTGAGGTTTAGAAAACTAGTTATTGTAATGTTTTCTTGGCACAACTCATTAATTTCTTATTGAACAATTCTGATTTGTAGTCCACACTTAATTTTGCTAATTAGTATTGTTAAAACTCGTTCTACATATGACCAATTTTCAAAGAAAAGAGAGATGTTTCAAACCAAGTAAAGTTCTCTACAATGCTAAGACCATAGAGAGTGTACAAAATCAAGAAACTTGATCTTAGGAAAATGAAAATTGGCAAGATTCTTTGGTCATACTTATTCTTAACAACTCTGTGACTAAGATTAAATCATTTAGAAATCCGGCTAATCTTGGTTTAACACTCTTAGTAGGGTTTGGTTTACTTTCCATGGATTTGTCTCGATAACCGGTTAATATGAATGAAACTGGAACAAAAATGAAATAACCGAAAAACCATCGGTATGCTCTTCTCTCTCTTTAATCAGTTTTTCCCAGTTCTCTCACCGAAGCTTGCTTTTAACCGCCGCAGCTTCCGTCATCGACGCCATTGTTGCCGGACGCTCCGTTTCTCTCTCTCAAAGTACATATCATTCATTTTTATTTACCTTGCTTAGTTGCTTATCCTTAGCTCATGAGAACTCCTGGTTGCTGATTTTTTGGAACGAATTTGGGGGATTTGTAATGAATTTTGGAATCTGAAAATCTTATTGGGCAGTAGGAGAAGATGGGAAGCGAAAGTGAGAAAGGGAGAGACGCAAAGGAAGAAGAAGAAGAAGAAGAAGAGATTGTCTGCTTAGAGTCCTTCTTCATCAACGATGAGTAAATATTTCACAAACAGAAATAAAAAAATGTTTGTTTAATTTTGGGTTTTTTATTAAACTTCATCAAGTGTCTGTTTTTGTGTTTAGACATTGTTCTCTTTTTGTGGATTGCAGTTATCAGCTGACGACGTTTACGTTTGGGTCCAATGTTCTTGAGCTCTACTGTCTGCAATCAGCTTCAAGTGAGTTTGCATTTTCTTTATCTTGTTATTATCAGTCTTGAATTGTTATTTTCTCAAAATTTGGTCCTTTGTGTGGTTTGTGTTATGATTATAGCTGTTTAACAAAAATTGTGAATTTTCTTCATCAATCAGCTTTTTTAGATTTGGTTCTTGTGTGGCTTGTGTTATGATCACAGCTGATTGATGTTGCTGTAGATTCGATTTTGCACACTCGTGCTAGTATTTATTGTAATGATATATTTGGTTCTTGCATAAACACAATGTCTAAAATGTTTGTGGGACAGCTGATTTTGATTTAACAGGGCAACTGGTTTGGCCTGGTGCTATGCTTATGAATGGTTATCTCTCAGAAAATGCTGACATTCTCAAAGGATGTTCAGTTTTGGAGTTTGGATCTGGCGTTGGTTAGTGCCTTTTCTTATCGTTATACCACATTTACCATAGTAAATGATTAAAATTGTTGTATACTTGGTCTTTTTAGACTCTCTTTGCCTGTAAATTCACCATCTTTCACATGTATATGTCATAAACTTGTGCACTTTCATTGCTCTATGAGGACAATGTTAGAGTGACTAGTTCCTTAATATCCTGAATCTTCTTCGAAAGCCTGATCTTTAATTTTTTTCTTGAACACAGGTATAACCGGAGTCCTTTGTAGCAAATTTTGCCGTAAAGTTGTTTTTACTGACCATAACGATGAAGTACTTAAGGCAAGGTTGCTTCACTGAAGATTTACTCTGAGAATAATTAATCATTAGTAGAATGTAATCAGATCTTTTTTGAATGGATTTTTTTTTCAGATACTGAAGAAAAACATCGACCTTCATGAACATTCAACCGGTCCCAACCCCTCAGCTGGTGAGAAATAATATTATAACTATTTATGCAATTGATTGATTCTCATCATTCATCCTTTTTTGATTGGTTCCGTTTTCACATATCTATCTACAGAATTAGAGGCTGCAAAGCTAGAATGGGGAAATAGTGATCATCTTGGTGAAATTTTACAGAAACACAATGATGGCTTTGATCTCATTCTTGGAGCTGATATTTATATCCTTATGTTCCGTAACAGTACTTTTCTAGCTATCTTCATAGTACTTTGGTTGATCTTAGAGTTCAGGTCGGTTTGTGCCATTGTGCCTTGACAATACATAAGTTTTCAGCAATCTAGTGTGCCATTGCTATTTGACAGCGTTGAGCAGCTTCTACGGATCAGGGAACCTGGAAAATGCAAGTTCATACTTGCATACGTGTCGCGGGCTAGACAGTAAGCTTATCAGCCACAACTTCTGCATTTTTCCTTATGTGTCTGCAGCATTCATATGAGCTACAGAGTAAAACTATATGATGTGTTGTTGTTTCAGGATGGATTCTGCGATCTTGAGGGAAGGCGATGAGCACGGGATGCTGATGAATGAAGTCTCCGGGACTCGGTGTACCGTTGGAAACTTGGAAGGGGTCATATATGAGATCACTCTTCCATAGAAGAAGATAGGCTTTGAAGATATTTTGGAGTGATTTTCCCTTGATACGTGATAATTTTTCTCATTTTTGTTTTTTATGTTATTCAGATGCTTACATGTGGTGAAATTGATTACAGAAGTTAGTGTTTTGAAAACTATGCAATGACATTGTGGATGCTTTGAAGTTAATCTACATCGGTCGGTGAAGAACTGTTGCAACTAACATATCTACATTATGATAGTTGCCACGTCCGATTCCTGGATCCTCACCTACTTATCAAAACAAATTTGGATAAGATCGATGACAATTACTAACTCTATAAATAACTCTTATTAATGTAAGCACCTTATTAATGTAGGCACGACTAAATCACACAACATTTCTGCGGCAAATTCAAGATGGATTTATAATGGTAATTTTGTAGCAAATGTATGATAATTTTTGTTTATCTGTTTCGTTTGGTTCAGACTATTCATAAGTTCATATATTTGTGCTTTTTTTCAATATTCAGATACAAATAATCCGAAAAACTAAATAGATGATTAGAACTAGATGATATATATCAAAGGGATTTTCTTTACTTTGTACACTCACTGATTCACCTTGAAAATGAGTCTAGAATCTATTGAACATCAAAGAAGATTGAACCCTAACTTTAAAGAAGTTGTTAAAAAAGAAACACTCAAACTTCTTGACGCCGGTGTGATCTATCTCATTTCAAACAACACATTATATCAACACTATAATTTAATCAACAAAAAAATATTAAAAACATACCTCAAAATTACGATCATCCAAGCGCATGACAACTCTTGCCTCTCCTACTCGCATCTCCACAAAGGCGTATTTTCCCACCATGGACACTCACAACAGGTCGTCCAATGAAACTACAAAAAGTTAGTGTAAACATTATTATAACACATATTACAATATAACAAAAAAAAATACTAACCACCATAGTTGCGGTAGGAGGAAGCCTAGACATGCAACCTCCCAACATGCATATTTGTCCATGATCAATTCTATGACAAATGAATGTGATAACAATTTCTTACTTTGAATGAGTTTCTGAGAAGATGTTACCAATTGTGCATAAATTGGACAGTTTAGACACAGTTCCATTTTTCTGTTTCAAGGATGGATATAATAAATGGTGGTTCAGGGAGAAATGTAACAAGAATGTATGATATTTTGAAAATATTATCTAGATCAGTTAGAACATCTTCATTGTCATTTAGAACCTTCTTTCTCAAGTGACATCTCACTTAAATCAGACATAACTTTACTCCAATAATTTTGAACTGAAACGTTCAAATCTCAACTAGAAGCCATGAAAAACATATAAGAAGCTATTTTCACCTTCATGGATAGTGACCTTGTCATAGGGTCTATGCATAGCCTCTAATCTGCATTTGGTAATAGTCATGATGCTTTTGAGAATACAAGAAGATTATGATATTGTTGCTGAATTTTTGGCCGTTGGGTTTGAAATTTTCTACAGTAACTTCTCAATTGGTAGATGGGATACGTTTTATCTCTCTTTTGTGTATGTTTTTATTTTAAGAAAACTATTTTGGAGCTTTGTAGTATATGTTTTTGGGTTTCAGATAATAAATATTTGAACCTGAACATATTTTAGTGGATAATAATCAGTTTTGGAAGTGAGGATCCAAACCAATTCAGAACCAAAATGCATTTGAAATCGTTGATAGTCCTTCCTTGCAATTAACCATTTTTATCACAAACTTATGACCACTTTGCTACTTTATGTCAAATTATAAAAAAAGAAAAAAATCTCAACCATTACATTATTTAACACATTCTTCCTCTACATTCAAAAATTTGTTGTCCAATCACTAAAGAAAGACTCAACGAAGAAAAAGATGGTCACTAAATTATTATTTATTGTGGTCTCTAAATTAATGGTTTTATTGTGGTCTCTAAATTAATGTTAGGCCATCGCCAAGCGGACCTGCCAACTACAACCAGATTTAGAGGAGATAAAGTTGCCGCGTCCTTTCTTCAGCCTCTCCATTCCCTTCATTTCCCCTTCTTCTTTTATTCCGGGAAGTCACCGGAAAAATAGGGAAATTTTATCGCCTGAAGATCTTCATCGAATCCTCCGAAGGAATCAATCACTCTCTCCTCCGGTAAATCTCCGCCTCTCCTTTTTTTCCTCTCTATTATTCTGATCGAATTCAGTAGAATGTTAGACGCATGAATCGTGATTCTCTTCTAAAGTAAACGGTGAACATTTCTCTTATTTTGTTGAAATTTATCGATTCCTGCTAAATAGAGAGAATCCCTTTGGAATTGAATGATAATATGCGGAGTCTGAATTTGAATCATGATCGGAAATTGATGTATTTGTGTCATCATTTACTTGGAATATGGTTTTGAGAAATGGATCTGACAATTTTCTCCAGAAAAACCCCCAAATTATTGCTGAAAAAAATGCAGTGGAATGGGGTGAGAAGAGCCCATTCTATATGGTGCAAGAGTTTAACAAACAACACTCATTTGCATATTCCAGTCTCACACGTTGTTGCCACCATGTCGAGTTTGGAGGAGCCTCTAGCCTTTGACAAGTTGTCAAGCATGAGCTCCATCGGTAGGATTCAGAGATTTTCGTCTGGTGCTTGCCGGCCTCGGGATGATATCGGCATGGGGCACCACTGGATTGAGGGAAGAGATTGCAGCACCTCAAACAGTTGCAAGTGAGTCCGGCAGGCTTTATCAATCTCTTCGGTTTCTTGCAGTTTGGTGTGTTTCTTATATATTCTTGAAAATTTACAGTGATGATGATAAAGAGTCCTTTCCGTGGAGAAGGCATACTCGGAAGATATCTGAAGGAGAGCATTTACTTCGGAATTTCTCAACTTTGTTAGGAAGGAGTTGTGCAGCTTCTGGGACTTTGTGGGAGTCGAAAAGTTTTCAGGAGCATAAGTATCATACATGTAGCAATGAGAATGGTGTACCGCATTCGAGCAACAAGGTAACTTTCTTGATGGTGGTAAATGGTTTCTGTTATTGCCTCTACTTGAAAACATGGCCACATATGTGTCTCCTAAATGATTCATCTTTTTATATTTCTGATGAGACAAATGAACATTTTTTTCTGTGTGAAATTCAGTTCGTTAGAGGTATACCAAAGTTTGTGAAGATTGTAGAAGTTGGTCCAAGGGATGGTCTGCAGAATGAGAAAAATATAGTACCCACATCTGTGAAAGTGGAACTGATTCAGAGATTAGTTTCTGCTGGATTGCCCGTTGTCGAGGCTACAAGTTTTGTATCACCCAAATGGGTTCCTCAGGTAATGCTGTTACTTATAACATTCGTAAACTGTCATATGATCATTTGTTTGGTGTATCCTGGAGTCGAGCAATTTCTTTTGGTTACAATCTATAGTTCTTGGTACAAGTAATTCTAATTGCTTCTGATTGGCAAAACAATGGAGAGAGCCATTTTAAAAGTTTCTGATTGTGTAGATGACCAAATGTATTATAGAAACAATTTATGTTATGGATGCTTACGTGAAAGATATTTGACTGAACAGAAATTTATACTATTTTGCATTGTAGCTTGCAGATGCAAAGGATGTAATGGGTGCCGTAAGTACTCTAGATGGTGCTCGATTGCCGGTTCTGACACCGAATGTAAAAGTGTGTATCATTTATCTCTTAAGCCTCTCCAAATAATTATTGTTTTCTTACATTTGAACACCAACATGGCGTGCTTGCCTTCTTTTTAGGGCTTTGAAGCGGCTATCTCTGCGGGTGCTAAGGAAGTTGCAATCTTTGCATCGGCTTCTGAGTCATTCTCCTTGTCAAATATCAACTGTACCATCGAAGAGAGTCTCTCGAGATTCCGTGCTGTTACCACTGCTGCGAAAGAGCATTCTATTCCTGTCCGTGGGTACGTTTCTTCTGATTTTTCTTGCTTCCTTACATTATATGTTTCCCCTAGATTGCATCTATCATAAATGCTTGTTAGCAGAAACAGTTGGCTCTAATTAATATTTTATGATTATTATCTCAATGTTGAAGGTATGTATCTTGCGTTGTGGGGTGTCCAAAGGAAGGACCCGTTCCACCTTCGAAAGTGGCTTATGTTGTGAAAGAACTCTATGAAATGGGCTGCTTCGAGATTTCTCTGGGTGATACAATTGGAATCGGCACTCCTGGTACTTTCTTTGACTCCAAATCTTGCATGGTTTACTCAATTCTCTCTGTTTGCTGAATTGGATCACAAAAGTAGTTTAACGGATTCCTTTCTTATAAATGAACTAGGTACTGTGGTTCCAATGCTTGAAGCCGTGATGGCAGTTGTGCCGGCGGAGAAGCTAGCTGTTCACTTCCACGACACTTACGGGCAAGCTCTTGCAAACATATTGGTTTCTCTCCAAGTAAGTCAAGCAAATAGAAGAAGATTCGGTTCTACAAAAACTTTCATTTATTGGTATTTGACATTTTCTGGTGATGATAAAAACAGATGGGAATAAACATAGTAGACTCATCGATCGCCGGTTTAGGTGGTTGCCCTTATGCGAAAGGAGCTTCGGGAAATGTAGCCACGGAAGATGTGGTTTACATGTTGAACGGTTTAGGTGTCCAAACCAATGTCGATTTGGGAAAGCTCATTGCTGCTGGAGATTTCATCAGCAAGCATCTCGGCCGTCCAAACGGTTCCAAGGCTGCTGTTGCCCTCAACCGTCGGATCATAGCTGATGCTTCCAAGATATGAGTGTTTGTTGTAGAATGATTCACATATCTCTAATCTCTTTTGAATATGAGACAGAGAGAGTGAAAATGAACTTTATTGTAAGATAAATATATGAATAGTGCATTTGGAAGGTGTATCCGTTTACTATGAAAAACCGGAGAACTAATATTTACAAATCAAATCAAATCACCAAACTATCATATCCTTGATTGGTAAGAGTTTCGTGGGCTTGTCCAAGTATGTTTCAAAGTCTTGTACAGACCGACTTTAAGATTTCTTCTAGATGAAACACGAATGTATATCATGTTAAATTTAAAAGATTAATTTAATCACGATATATCTTAACCATGAAACGAAGATTTGGTTGAGCTGATCCTAATTCCTAGCGATATTTACTATTCCTTAACAGTAACATTGCCGACTTTGCTAGCTGTCGGTTTCTTCACCGTCACAGAAAAGATGGATCTCAGGCCCATTAACGTTGAATGTTATATATACACACTGAACATCAACCTCTTCAACATAACTTGATCCCCAAGCCACAAAGAATTAGGGCTTTTCCATAAACAACGCCAAAACAAACAACCTCTTTCACCACCTCCCCAAAAAAAACCATGGCCTCTTCTTCTCCTTTGGTTGGTCCACCAGAGATCCGTGTAGCTCCTGCTCCTGGTCCAAGCAACCCATTCATGGACTCAATGGTTACCTTCTGGTCAAAGTTCAACAAAGCCGGCTCTTTCCCGGCCGTCGTCAACCCTTCTCCTCCTCCTCAGATGGGCCGGACCGAGAACGGATCCGCCACGTACCTATCCTCCGGTAATCCCTGCCTCGAATTCTTTTTCCACGTTGTTCCAGACACTCCTAAGCTCTCTCTGGAGCAGAGGCTCGTTGTGGCTTGGAACCATGATGCTTTGACGACTCTCAAGCTCCTATGTAACCTTCGTGGAGTCCGTGGTACTGGGAAGTCCGACAAGGAAGGGTTTTACACGGCTGCGTTGTGGCTCCACCGTTACCATCCCAAAACCCTAGCTTGTAACCTCGAGTCCCTCTCCAAGTTTGGCTACTTCAAGGACTTCCCGGAGCTTCTTTACCGGATTCTTCAAGGCTCTGATGTCCGTCAGATCCAGAAGTCTGAATGGAGCAAGAGGAAAGGTGGACTCTCTCGCTCTAGAGGAAGAGGAAGAAGAGCTCCTTTCTCCCGTGACACGTCAAGATCCTCTTCTCGTGGTCGTGGTGGTCGTGGAAGCGGTCGTGGCGGTCGTGGGCCACGTTTTACGAGGCCGGCGGCTACAAGGGAGCAAAGGGTAGCGAAGGCAGAGAAGAGAAACCAAGCGGAGAAGGCAAGAGCGAGTTTAGATCGGAAGGCAGAGAAGATAACAATGGCGAAGAACGCATTCGCCAAGTATTCTCAAGATCAAAACTACCGCTACCTCCACGAACGAGTGGCCGATCTGTTCGCTGATTACTTGAAGAGAGACATGGAGGCGTTGGCTTGCGGCGAGACAAACAAGATATCTCTGGCGGCTAAATGGTGTCCATCTCTTGACTCATCGTTCGACAAGGCAACACTCCTCTGTGAGAGCATCGCTAGGAGAATGTTTCCACGTGAGTCTTTCCCTGAGTACGAGGGCGTGGAAGAAGGTCACTACGCGTACAGAGTCCGTGACCGGCTTCGGAAGGAAGTTCTTGTTCCTCTGAGGAAGAATCTCCAACTCCCTGAGGTGTACATGGGAGCGAGTGACTGGGAGTCTCTTCCTTACAATCGCGTAGCTTCGGTGGCCATGAAAACGTACAAGGAGTTCTTCTTGAAGCACGACCAAGAGAGGTTTCAGAAGTTTTTGGAAGACGCGAGAGCAGGGAAGACCAAGGTAGCTGCTGGAGCTGTGTTGCCGCACGAGATAATCCGTGACTTGGACGGTGAAGATGGTGGACAAGTCGCTGAGCTGCAGTGGCAACGAATGGTGGATGATCTGAAGACGAAAGGGTCTTTAACAAACTGCATTGCTGTCTCTGACGTTTCAGGATCCATGATTGGTGATCCAATGGAGGTCTCAGTTGCTTTAGGGTTGCTTGTGTCTGAGTTATCTGAAGAGCCATGGAAAGGCAAGATGATCACATTCAGCAAAAACCCTGAGTTGCAATTTGTGACAGGAAATGACTTGAGGTCCAAGACATCGTTTGTGAGGAGGATGCAGTGGAACATGAACACTGATTTTCAGAAGGTGTTTGACTTGATCCTAAGGGTCGCTGTAGAAGGGAGATTGAAGCCTGTAGATATGATCAAGAGGATTTTTGTGTTTAGCGATATGGAGTTTGACCAGGCTTCTTGCTCTGGAAGGAACGGATGGGAAACGGATTATGAGAGGATTGTGAGGAAGTATACAGAGAAAGGGTATGGAGAAGTTGTGCCAGAGATAGTGTTTTGGAATCTGAGAGACTCGGTGGCGACTCCGGTCATGGGAAATAAGAAAGGAGTGGCGTTGGTTAGTGGGTTTTCGAAGAATCTGATCAAAGTGTTTTTGGACCGTGACGGAGAGATTGATCCGGTGACGATTATGGAACAAGTCATATCTGGCGAAGAGTATAGTAAGCTTGTTGTAATTGATTGAGAAATGATTTGTATGTGTGCGTAATTGTTGGTTTGATTTTATCAAGTTTTAATAAATTTGTTTTTTTCTTTCATCTCTCAAGCCTTGAATTAGTGTTGTTGAACAAGTTATAATTCATGAGAATGCCATAACAAATCAGTGACTAAACCAGCTCTCTAGACTCTAATTCATCCTGTTTTGTTATGATGGAAAGTAAAGATTTCATATGAAGAGGAAGATAACTGATTAAAAATGCAATCTTTACTTTTCTTTTGAAAAGTAAAGATTAAAACCTTTTAACAAAAAAGTGAAAAGTAAAGATTAATTATTGTTTCTATAACAAAGATATGTAAGATCAAAGTACGGATTCCACAAAATTACAGTATAAACATTCTTCCAAAGCCGGTAGATTCATTGAGGGTTTAGGGTTTAGATTTCTCTCCCTCTCAACTCTCATCAATCATCGTCTTCGTTTTCTCTTTTCTCAATTTCTCTCTCCAAACCCAAGTCATACTCATATTAACAAGATGTAAAGTAAAGATTGAGAAAATGGAACCAAGAAAATTAATAAATAGGTAGGTCGGGTTCCCGGTTTGTATGGATTGATAAATGGTTGGAAATGTAATTCCCGGTTTAGGGTGATGTTTTGCGTTTAAAACGAAAATCAAAGATGATATTTTTGGCAAGAGCGGTATGTAAGATCAAAGTACCAAATACCAATTCTTCCAAATCCGGTAGATAAGAATCATTTGAGGGTTTAGGGTTTTAGATTTCTCTTCCTCTCAACTCTCATTCTCTATCAAAGCTACTTGTCATCAATCATCGTCTTCCTTCTCTCTTTCTTCCGATTAGCTCCTCTTATGGTTGCTGTTTAAAACCCAAGTCGCCATTTTTGATGCGGTTTTCTCCAACTCAATTACTCTCACAGCTGAGATTCACTCGGAGAGCAGCAGCCTCTTCGCGTTTCTACACCGTCTCTGCTCTAAACCCCAATCTCTCCGATTCCGAACAACAACAGGTGAATTATCCCCTTAAAGTCGGAAACTTTAACTCCAATCTCAATGAATTCGGCGTTCTCCGAGTCCTCAACAGTACAGGAAATGACCCAAACCTCGCTTTATCGTTTCTGGGAGAGCTTAAACAAGATGGCGTTTCGCTTAACGTTGATGCGTACGCGAGTGTGGTCAAAATCCTCTCTAGTTGGGGTTTGGATAGGAAGTTAGATTCGGTGTTAGTGGAACTAATTAAGAACGAGGAGCGTGGTTTCTGTGTCATGGATTTGATAGCAGCAATTGGAGAAGAAGCTGAGGAAGAGAAACGTTCTTTTCTCTTGATCCGAGTCTCTGGTGCGTTGGTTAAAGCTTATGTTAGTCTTGGCATGTTTGACGAGGCTATCGACGTTATGTTTCAGAGTAATCGAATGGGTTGTGTTTCTTGCATAAAGGCCTGCAATTTCTTGATGAACCGTTTGATTGAGTTTCGGAAAAACGATATGGTGGTGGCTCTTTTCAAGCAGCTTAAGCAGCTGGGTTTGTCTGCAAATGAGTACACGTATACGATTGTGATCAAGGCATTGTGTAGAAAAGGTGATTTGGAAGGAGCAAGTAAGTTGCTTGGGGAGACTTCGAGTGTGTTTGCTCTGACGACTTTCATTGAAGGACTTTGTGGGAATCAGAGGACAGAGGAAGCTGTTGCTCTGATAGAGGAGCTGGTGAAGGTGAAAGCTTTGGCTGGTGATGGCCTTGGCACTGCTTATAGTATGGGGGTGAGAGGATTCTGTGATGAGATGAATGTAGAAGCAGCCGAAGAAGTTATTTGTAAAATGGAGGAAACTGGGATTGGTCCTGAGGTTTATGCTTGCTCGTTGGTTGTTGATAGATACTGCAAGAACAAGGATTTAGTCAAAGCGTTGGGGGTTTTGGATAAAATGTTGGAGAAAGGACTCAAGATAAATTGTGTGGTTGTGAGTTCAATCCTTCAGTGCTACTGTGAGATGGAGATGTATTTGGAAGCATTGGAGAAGTTTGAAGAGTATAGAGACGGGAAGAAGATTTTCCTTGATAGGGTTTGTTACAATGTTGCGTTTGATGCTTTGAGCAAGCTTGGGAGAGTGGAAGAAGGTATTGAGTTGCTCCAAGAAATGATGGATAAAGGAGTGGTTCCTGATCTCATCAACTACACAACTCTTATAGATGGCTACTTGATTCGAGGTGAGTTTGTGGATGCTCTTGATTTGGTGGACGAGATGAGAAGAAACGGTGTCTCTCCTGATGTGATCACATACAACGTGCTTGCAGGTGGATTCGCCAGGAACGGTCATGTTAAAGAGGCGTTTGATATTTACGGCATAATGAAGAAAGAGGGTCTAGAGCCTAATGCTCTAACACACAGTGTGATCATTGAAGGTTTGTGTTCTGCACTTAAAATAGAGGAAGCTGAAAATTTCTTCAAGAGTCTGGAAAGCAAATGCCCTGAGAACTATGCCAGTTTGGTGAAAGGTTATTGTGATTCTGGTCTTTCGAAAAAGGGCTTTAGACTTCTCATTGAACTAAACTTCCCTCTGCGGAAGAGTGTCTACTTCAAACTGTTCACTAGTCTCTGCAGCGAGGGTTGTCTCGACAAAGCTCTTGTGGTACTGAAAAGAATGTTGGCTTATGGAGTTGAACCTGGGGGGAGCATGTATGGTAAAATGATTGGGAAGTTGTGTGCGTTAGATGAACCGAGACTGAGAGAAGCTCAGCTGGTATTTGACACAATGGTTAGGAGAGGACTCGTCCCTGATTTGTTTACTTATACTATTATGATTCACACCTACTGTAGAGGAAATGAGTTGCAGAAAGCGGATGATCTTTTCGAGGACATGAAGAAGAGAGGAATAAAACCTGATGTGGTAACCTACACGGTTTTGCTTGATAGTCATCTGAAGTCTGATCCAGAGCATCGTGAAACAGGTTCTGTTATAGGAGAGGTGCAAAAGAGGAAAGCTTCAGAAGTTTTTAGAGAATTGCAAGCTGCTGATATTGAACTAGACGTTGTATGCTACACTGTTTTGATAGATCGCCAGTGCAAGATTCCCAACCTTGAGATCGCCACAAAACTTTTGGATCGAATGATAGACAGTGGGCTCAAGCCTGATATGGTGACTTACTCAGCTCTAATATCTGGTTATTGTCGCAAAGGATATGTAAATAAGGCAGAGACGCTTGCTAAGGAATTGTCAAGAGAGGATATTTCACTGGGTGAACATTTATATGCTACAGTTAGACGTGCTGTTTTGAAGACGAAGAGATTTCAATTACGGAAGTGAAGAGGTATAATGAGTGTATATTTGGAAGGTTAAGTGTGATTTTGGTGATATATATTGTACACGGTGTGTGCGTCACATTTGGAGGCAAAAAGTAGAACTCAGAACATTTAAGAAGAAATTTTTTGGATATGCATTTGTATGAAGGAGGGATGTTTGAAGAGTGTCTAGGTACATGCGCTTCTTCATTCCTGACTATACTCTGGTGAGAGTTGTTTCTTCTCTCAATGGTGGTCCATGATGTAGAAGTGGATGCAATTCTTGGACAATGCTAAGGATGAGTCAACAATGCATATTCTGGTCAGTTTCAAATGCTGCTTTTCTCTGTTTGAGACTTACAATCAGTTTATCGACCAAATGTTTTCTGTAATTTGTTTACTCAATGCCATAACCAAAATGAAGGAAATATCCTCCGGATCTTCTTATGGAGAAATACAAACAATACCTTGGTTGGTTTTGTGATCGGACATCTTAATAAGGGTGATGATCTGTTTTGTCCTTTTGCAGAGTGGTTAAGAGAAAGGATAATGAGGAAGATCACTTTATGCTTGTGAGGTGAGGGAAGCGCACTAAAGATTTGAATCGTTGAGAGTCATGGAATCAAATTGACTTGATTTGGTGATGAGGACCAGGCAACAGCCTCCACGGCTTGGACGGGAAAGCTATGTTTTCCAAATGGTGATAGAGATAAGCTCTGTTTATTTATTTGGGCGAGATTGCTGATTTTGATATGTGGACTCACTGATAGACTTGTGTTTGCTAAATTTTACAGAGTGGGATTGAGGATTGAGGATTGAGGATTGAGGAGGACAAGCGGCAGAGATTCTGAGAAATAAACTATGTTTAGTAATTACTTGAAGAAAAACAATGTTGTAACTTTACAATTACTGTTGTTAGAAACAGAACAATCGATCTTATAGACTTGCTTACAAAAAAAAAAGATTAAATAATCTATGCAACTCCTTTCTTCTCACGCTTTCTCTTCTTATGAGGCTTTTGAAGCACTCGTTTGGCATCACAGTTGGTCAAGTTCGCAAGATTATGGTAATGTGGTGCTACTTCAACAAGCCATTCACCCTCAATATGTGTAACAGTTCGTATGAAGTTCCGGGTAGTGAAAACGTATTCATTGTAAACAACCCACTCAGGCTTGTGATCCAAGCAACTAGAAGGATGCAAGTGAACCACTTGATTGTTCTCCAACTTATGTTTGAGAGTCAAGTAGTGGCCACTAGTGCTTTCTAGGTGAGCCACTTGCATGAAATAACCCGCAAGCAAGGCCTTTCTTATGTTGACGTAGTAGTTAGGACTAGTGAAACTATTGCTGCACAACTTCATCTCAAACCTCGACATGATCCGGACCAGCTGCTCTCTAACACTAACCGCAGACTTCATTGCTCTGTAGTTTATGAAGTTTTCGTAGCACCAGTTCGGATCTTGCTTGTTTTGCAAGAAAGCATGGTACACATTCAAGAGCGTGAGGTGATCTCCATCAGCGTGTGCAAACCTTGATTTAGCCTCATCTGCTGCTTTTGAAGCTTCCCTACTTGGCCTGATGAAACAATTGGGTACTGATAGCATCGCGCAAATCGAAAGAATCTCGTTGGAGCAGTTATATTCAGGACTGACTATGAGCATCTTTGTCATCTGTGGATCCAAGGGAAACTCACTCATCTTCTCGCCTGTCTTTGTCAAATTAACTTCATCATCAAGTGCTCCCAAATGAAACAAATCTCCTAAGGCCCGAGCAAGAGTGTCAGGAGCAGGAGGATCCATAAAATCAAAGCGTATCAAGTCATCCACACGCAGCTTTTTCAACGTAAGAACAGTGTTTGCGAGGTTTGATCTCAATATCTCAGGATACGTTTGCGTCTTAAGCTCATTGAAACTCTTCTCAGTGTAAAGCCTGAAGCATTTTCCGGGCCTTGTTCTACCGGCACGACCTGCTCTTTGGTTAGCACTTGCCTGTGATATTGGAGACACCAACAAGGACTCAACACGAGTGATTGGGTCGTAGATTTTCTGCTTGGAGAAACCAGGATCAACCACGTAAACAATCCCGTCGATGGTTAGAAGTCTCTGCAATGTTGGTGGAGACAACAATCTTTCTCACCGTTGGGTCTGTTGTAGGATCGAATATCTTGTGTTGCAAGGCAGACGGAAGAGTGGCATACAATGGCATGACTGTGACTTGGTCTCCAAGTTTACATGTGATACTTTTGCAAGCTTCTTCAATCTCTTCTTCCCCAGTCAAGAAAACAAGAACATCGCCAGGTGGCTCACATTTATGAATCTGGATGACAGTGTTTATAGCAGCCTCAAGATAGTCCATCTCAGGTTCTAGAGTATACAATATCTCCACTGGATGAAGCCTGCCGGGGACTTTAATAAGAGGCGAACCGCTAAAGTACTTGTGAAACTTGTCGGTTTCTAAAGTTGCACTCATCACAACCAGCTTAAGGTCAGGTCTATTACTCAACACTCTTTTAACAAGACCGAAAAGCAAGTCAGTGGCTAAGGTTCTTTCGTGTGCTTCGTCGAGAACAATCGCTTTGTATCTCGATAAGAGCGGATCAACCATCGCTTCTCTCAGAAGCATACCATCGGTTAGGTACTTGAGAACCGTTCGGGGACTAGTGCAATCGTCGAAACGGACAGTGTAACCAACTTCTTCCCCGAGCTCTACGTCCATCTCTTCAGATACACGACGGGAAACAGACATCGCTGCGACTCTACGAGGTTGCGTGCATCCCACCAACCACTTCTTCCCCTTAGGGTTAGGGTTAGAGTTTTCGTCGAGCACGGCTTCTAAAACGAACTGTGGAATCTGCGTGGTTTTGCCACTGCCGGTCTCACCGACCAATAGCACCATCTGATTTTGCATGAAAATTTCGAGAAACTCTTGTTTCTGTAACCACACTGGTAAATTCTTCCGTTTCTCTAGTATCGCAAAGTATCTTGGAGAATACGTCTTCTTCATCATCATGATGGACAATGAGTTCTGATGATTTGACAAGAGAGTGAGTATTTATAATTTAGTTTTTCCTTATCCTACTGTAAGTATGTTAATTTCCTTTTTCTACCAAATTAAGTATTGTAATTTCTTTTTGTACCTAATTCAGTTTGAGTCTCCTATTCTTTTAAAAGTATAGATTAAATAACGACAGTGATTATATATTTTTATTATTTATCATATTTTCGAAATTGGTGAAAAGTAGACTTGTTCAACAACTGTGAAGTCTCATATTTAACTTGTTCAACAACTATGATGTTTTTGTTTGAAGCCTTTATTTCGTGGACCGAATAAGATCCGTTGAAAAAAGCATAATTTATATCTTTGCGTAAAAATAAATACAGACAAAACTCAAAAGAGTTGTACACCACCCCCAATTGTATGTAAGAAATTACTCTTGGAAACCAAAACTTTTTCTTCTTTGGTTCTCCTGTCCATAGGTGAGAGAGTTCAAAAGTTATGATAAAAAGAATTAGCAAAATTATGTCGATTTAGTTCAAAACCAAATATTTTTTTTCACAATGTTATCAGCAATTTTAACATTTCCGTATTAATTAAGTTGTGGAATTTAAGTGGCAGCTGAAAACTTGGAGCCACACAAAGCGGATGCAGTAGCTATGTTTCCTGTGGAGACTCAAAAGAACAGAACAAGGTTATCTCTATGTCACACATCATCAAACATGTCCTCATATCAGAAGAAAAACATGGTTTGCAATAGAAATTGTATTAAGTAAACAATGAAGTAGATTCCCCCATTTATATCAAATCACATAATGGCAGGCATAAAACTATATCTCTTCTCTGTGCTTGCTTAGTTTAACAAGGGGAAATTTGCGACCGCATCTCTGGATTTTCTCAATAACGTCTTAGCTTCTTCACTCTTCTCGACTTCGAGCAAAGAGATAATCTCAGCCTTGAAATCTACTTCAACGGGATGCAATGACGAAACCATGCTATAAAGTTCGATTAGCTCGAGCAGGCATTGCGAAGTAGCCACATGAACCTGAGGTTTTATGTTAAAAACATCCAATTAGGATTTAGTTAAAAGAACAAAAAAGTAAATCATATGCGTTTTCAAAACTATAAGTAATTAACGAGACTGTTCATCAAGCTACCCTGATTAAATCCTAACAACGACAACTACTTTCAAGTTTCAACTATTTAGGCTAATTCTGTCCTAAATCAAAATCACGAAATTTGTTTCAGTTTTCATTTGCTACAAACTCTCATGGGAATTTTGAAGAACGTACCTGAGCTATCTTCACTGTGTGTATGCATTCCAGTAGTTTAGGAACCAGTGAGTGATATAACTGAAAAACAAGAAGAATACTTAAAAACGCAGTCAAAATTATATACGCGTGGAGTGAACAATGTAGATGTGATTAAATTACCTCATAGACGAATTTTGTCGCATCACTAGGTGAAAGGCTATCCATGGAGTCAGTCAATAGACTCTGAAACCTTGAACAAAGCTTCCCCACACATGAAATTCCAGACATTTTCACTGCCCAAGGAAAAATCAGATTGGTAAAGGTAATAAAGCGTTTTCTGGAAAATATAGTGAGAGAAGAAACCAGTACCATTCCATAGAAAACCAGGTGACAAGGAAATCAGAAGAACATGAACCAAATCTGCTTTCTGACGGAGAATGTCATCTATGGTTGCTACTTGAATGCAAGACTTGACGCATTCCATAATTTTTTCAAGTGGGACATGTCCGTCTTCTCCATTTTCTGATTCTGCGAAAACAAAGAGTGGACGGACTATTCAGATTACTGAGACAATCTTCGTAAGGCATAGCATTAATGGTTACTACTCAACATATTATCCAATGTGATCAAGTAAATGACGCAGAACTGTTATCAATCAAAGTATATGACTCATCGTGTAACAACCTGTTTTGACGGGATCACTTGCTGACAGAGCTTGAGAGCTCGTTTTGACAGAGGCAGTCTTACACATCTCATATAGCATAGGGAAAACGAAATTGAAAAACTCTGGATCGCCAAAAGCTATTATGACCTGATAACATATAATCAAAATATTCAAAGATCCACTAACCGAACAATGCTGTGTGAGAACTGGATTATCAGCAGATTAAGATATCATGAACCATCTCTTAGTTTTTTGCATAATAAGCCACAACTTTTAGGTCTTGACTTACCTTGTCTAGACAAGAAAAGGCTGACTCACGATATTTCTTGAGTTTCTTTTTGCATGCAGCACAGATAAGACTCAGGATGGTAGTGGGAGCTGTTGGATCCTCTTTAGTTATTGCCTCGTGGCAAGAGACTGAAAGAGCACCTAGGGCATCCAGAAGAGCATCCTTTCCCTGCGATCACAAGTATTAATTTGAGAAACTAGTTCAAGAAAATGCCAATATTTGTTTATGATCCAAAAGAGCAGCTATAATCTCGGTTAACTTGTTTATGAACTTCCAAGGAAAAGGAAAAAAATATATTTAAGTGAAAGAACTTGGTTCACCTCCCATAAACGTCCAGGAATTTCAGTGACAAGGCACTGCAGCAATCTGTTATGGTGCGGCCATAATGATTCACCTAAGACTTCACTTAGTTTGCAAATTGCCTTCCCAGACTGAAAGAAAGTATAAATCTTCTATGAGTACGACAGCATAAATATTAATTAGTACAAAGAAGAGAGATACGGGCACGAGAAAGATAGTAACGTGCCTTCTTTTTGCTTGCCCACGAGGAAGAAGTAATGCTCTCGCAGATATGGTTCACAATTTCTTGAAGAAACAACTGCAGTGTGACCCTTTCACCACTTGTTATGTCTTCCCACACCTCCTCAAAGAGGCCTGAAATCTGTTTGTCATCCTCAAATCTGCATTGTACAATCACCGTAAGCTTCTCACGTATTGCCAGAAAAGAAGCAAATAATTTGTTTATATAATGATCTGCCAAAATATTTGCAAGAGAGAAAAGATACCAATTGCGAGCATCGTACTAGGGAATGTTATTTGATCAAAGAATTTACGAATTTAAATCTATAATTTCTTGCTCTTATTTAAAACTGATATCGATTGTTATCAGGTTAGGAGTTCCCTGTGCATAATATTCACATGCATCAGACTCAGCAATAAACAGCTCCACTGGTTTACCTGGAAATAAATATAGCTGGAACAATCGCTGACTGATAACCGCTCATAATATCAGAAGCTGTAGATGAGAAGCTTTTAAGGAGACTCGCACATGCAATCTGGGAGCTTCTATCGCCAGAGTGCAGAGCTGCAGTTTCTTCGATTAAGCTTTGAGCTTGAGAGGGGCTAGAATACTTCAATACAATGCCACAAGCACTCGAAAAGGCACGCTTCGCAGCAGAACTTTTCTCCTCCTTGGCAACAGGAAACAAAAGTCTCAGCAGCATTCCGGTGAACGGCTTTATCTCGGTTCCAACTTTTTGAATTAGTAATGATATGAAGCTGGCAACACCAACCCTGTTCAGAAAAAAAGAAAATTTTACTAAATATAACATCTACAATTGAATACTTGAAATCTAGTAAAACAGACGAAACTCCTACACTACACTACTTGTATGGTAATGGTTTTGGCCACTATCAGGTCTACGAGGAATTCTTTTCACTACAATCTCAAAATCTCTTACTTTATCGCACTCTGTAGTAAACTTGGAAACAGTAGCAGCCAAAAACAAAAACAGGAATGGTAGTCTCCAGTAAAGGTTGTAGATGAATTAGTTTCATTAATAATAGAGGGTTTAAAATAAATAACTGACCTCGTATTGAGGCCAACACTACCCCGAACAAGTTGAGTGAGACGAGGGATCAACTGCTCAAGTGATTCAATATCCACTATATTAATGCACAGATCAAGAGTTTCCCACATTGGAGATCCTTTCGAGATTGAAATTCGTAAATTTTCAAGTTTCTCGGTTTCTATGCCTATATTAGCAGCATGCAACTGAAACACAAAAAGATTAAATTAATACGAAGTCAGAATAAGGCAAAGATTCAAATCGGAGTTGCGGACATTAAATGATACCTCGACATAGTTAAGTCCTTGGTCTTCAAGACTAGACAAACTTTCTAACATACAGCAAACTAGGTCTGACAAATGTGGACGGAGGGCAATTCCTGCACCCTGCAAATGGAAACAAACAGCACAAATCATTTTAAGGATTCCATGGAAACAGAAAAATTGGTCATATGTGAGCACAACTCTCTTAATTCATGGAAACAACCGTGACAACTGTCCATGCCAAATTGAGGACTAACCTTTGCAAGCTTCATAACAACTCCAATTGAAGCCTTACGTACACTGCTGACTTTACTCATTATTCCTTCTGAAAGCAAAAAAGGAAGAACAATATCCATTGCTTGTCTTGCATCTGATAGTTCGGTGAGCGTGACATCACAAATCCTTATTGTTAAGGATGTCACGCCACGACATAACTTATCACCAGCATTTCTCACAGTCTCTTTGATGTCATCCATAGCACGGAAAGCAGCTATCCATATTCTTTTCAAATGCCCCCCAACCTTTAATAACATAAGTACATGATCCACTTAGAAGATCCATAATGAGACAACAGTGTTTACAAACAAGAAAGAAACAGCCAAATTCATTTTCAATGTCTATTAGAAAACGAAGATCCTACCTGGTCAAATTTCCGACCTTGAATAATATCAGCAAGGGCAAGACAGGATGCCTCACGGGAGCGCCAAAGCCGTGAGCCACATTGTTCTAGCAGATCATCGAAGATATGATTCAAATGTTCATCAACAGCTTTCCTAGGGTCTTGTATCAATGCTTTCCAAATGTGCGCCATCGCATCCTGCCAAATGTACGCAGTTCAGGTTAAACAAGCCAATTTTTAGTCATTAGATCAGTGGTGAGTAAAAATCTTGGGAGACATTGAAATATTATCAATACGGAATATAAATTAACAGCAGACTGAACTATAATATTACGAGCATTTCGGGATGAATGGAGCCC